GTTTCTCTCTCTTCTCTCTGCGAGCCTGTGATGACAGATCACCTTGGTCAGAGCAAAGTCAAGCTTAAAAGCTCTGTCTTTATATAAAAGTACAGTTGCAGCTGGTAAAAATGTCCAGCACGCTGGAGAACATGGTCGTCTGCTGCACTCGTTGGCACCGTCAAGCGAGCTGCAAAAATATTTATTAAGGTTTTCTGAGGTGTTTTCATACGCGAGCGGCACATGTACTGTTTCTATAACATTCAACACCAAACCTGGAAATATGTCACAGGAGCTCAGTTTTAGCTGCAGTCTAGTTAAAGGTAGCACGTGGGGGTTTTTGACCACCAGTGACCACTGTAGAACAGTGTATTTAAGAGTGATGCTTGCACACAAGAAAGCACAGCCCTTCTGTTTTCATGCTGTTCCGCTGAACAACATTTGGTGGCGTCAAAGATGCTCTATAACCAAGATGACCCATTACAAGCTGCGCCAATGGTATGAAATTGTGTGCACTTCCTGTCTCCTAAGTGGGTGTGGTCACCTGGTATGAAATGTGACACTAGCAGTTCAGTAGCTAATATTAAAAGCTAATTTATTACTTACCTGACAGATACCTTGTTCCTGTTATTACAGGCTATTGCTGCACAAAGTTTGGGCATTTTTAACAGTAATTGATGGACAATTCTTGTCCACGTCAAAACAATGCAATATAAAACAATACAACACTAGACACAGTACAAATTTGGATTTTATTTTGCAGCTCTTTTCTCATCTGCTAGCTAAATATCTGTTCAACCAGATTATATCAGTCTGATAATATTCTATTTTTTCCTTCAAAAAACCTAAATAATAATAACATAATAGTATTGTTAAGCAAAGAAACACGTTTTTATTCAGTTTTAACGTTTAATCCCTGGTTTCCTGTATTTAAATTTCTGTGTATCAAGTTGAAAAGTGATGCGACAGCACTGCAGTGAGACCAGACTAGAACAGAAAGAAGAGATGTGTGTCGCCAGATCTCACGAGAGTGTGTTGCTAAGACAGAGACAGGTCTTTAAAAAAGTAAATTTTCTCCTGGTTTCTCTGTCTGAAACATATCATTTTAGTGTCAGAATGTTTTGAGCATATTCGGCCAGTGAAAAAGTGTTTTACTTTTAGTATTTACTTCGATGACTATATGGCGAAAGAATCGGTCATAATAGGTGCTCACGCTGGCACAGGAAATGATTCTAAGTCTACTTTCTCAACTGTCTCTAGTGGATTTTGGACCAAAAAAAAACACGTAAGTAATGCACAATGAAAAGGCCTTGAAAAAGACTGCAAAGCAAGTAAACACAGATCCAAACAGTGCAGGTTCCAAACAGCTCGTGTTTCACCAGTTGAGCACTTGTAATGTGAAGCAGCAGCAGTAGGAAATGTTTGATTTGCATTAGCAGCAACTGATGATACGGTGTAATGAGTGTGAACAGTAAACAGTGAAGCTGATATTAATGAGATAAAAGTAGAAACAGTGATGCTGGATTACATACACACATTGTTTGAATTGAATCTCACGAATGTGAAGATAATCTGAATCCTGCAGGATTGGTGGACTCAGCCACTAACAATGAAAATGGAGGTAAATAGAGAAGGTAAATACATTGCATGGCTATTGCTGAAAAAAATAGAACGACAATTTGTGTCAAAAATGGCGTTTGAGTTCATGAAAATCTTCAGGATTATAATTTAAGACATGTGGAATCTCCCTCTGCTGAAAATGTTTCTTGGTCTTGAAGTTTGTTTTGTTTTTGGTTTTTTTCGATGACAACTACACCACTGAGCGTCTGAAGCATATAGTTATCAGGTGGCCTCAAATCACAGTTTGGGTTAGTTTAAATGTGCAGTGGAAAAAATGTTTTATAAATAATGAAAAAGTGAAGCATGTGTGGATGTTTGTAGAGAAGACAAGGACACTGGGACAAGGGTCTAAACACTGCATGAGCCACAGCTTTAATTAAAGAAATTCAAACCAGATTTTTTTTTTCTTTTTTTTTTAATTATTCTGTTTATTTTTTTGTCTGTAAAATCACCAGCTTTTTTGGTATTGTTGAGTCAATGACAGGCCTGGTGTTGTGATCAGGACGTAGCTCAGGTTGTGTCCAGTGGTATCTCATTATTCATTCATTCAACCTTTATTAATGAATTAATCTAGATGAATCATTGAGGGCATGTTGAGAGCACACTTAAAACAGAATAAATAATGAACGAGAAAACAAACAAACAGCAGCAAATTAAATTGACCGATTAGTAGAACTGTGTTAAATGTCTGACAGAGACTTTACAGACAATGAAGCATTATGTCTGACAGAGCGCTGTAGATTGTGTACAGTCTACTGCAGAAGTGCAGCAGATTGTATCCAGAAAAAAAAGCTGAGTGCAGAGGCTACTAATCGACCTTGAAAAAGAGATAACGTGTAACAGATGGTGAGAGCAAACTCGACGGTCAGCACAAACTAAAGCAAACACAAGTGTTTGAGGTATAGAGAGGCATCGATCAATATAGGTTCAAAAGGTCACCGAGTTAAAGGAAGGGGTGAAAGTGACTACACGGGCTTAAAGGCAGGTGAGTAAATAGAGAAATTTCACATCTTGGTTGACATGTGGCAAAGAAAAATGTGTTGATTTGTCTGGTACTGTACGAGATTGGCGATTGATGATATACAATTTTGCTCTAAATGATTAAATACATGCCGTCAATTCTAGAGACTAATATCATCCTTGAACTCGGTGAGATGCCAGTGGGAGTATAAAAGTCTGCAGTGAACTCACTGTGTTAAATCCACCTGACAGCCGATGCGAAGATGCAAAAATTCAAGATATAGTGTGTCTTTGTTTTGCACAAGTGAAAATCCAGCAGCTGCTACATTTTCAGCGGTGCAAGCCCTGCGCAAGAGTTGCATCAGAAATCCAGGATTTTGAACCCGATGTACAGGTGTTTGAAATGCTTCATAAAGTCTCGCACGCAAACTAAAGCGACACTGTATAGACAGGCAAAGAATTCATTGTTCAGCTACAGTTGGAGATGATGCGGGGGCGTTTAAAGCCTTGTTAAAACTGCATCGCCAGGCCTGATGTGCAACACTGTGATGTCTTGCACCCACATGAGAGGGAAAGAGGATATGGAGATTTTACAAATAAACATAAATCATATACAGCTCTTTATGTCTCCAAAGCTGTAAGGTGTGAATCGTCCTGCTTTCAGTGAAACAGCTTGTCCTCTTTGTCAGGAACTATACTTACAGCTGTGTTGTAGCGGGGGAGATTGTGTGAATAAATACTGGTCGGGTTGTTCTTTATTTAAATCCAAGTAAAGCCACCAGCCAGCTAAATATATTCACACATAGATCCTCTCCATGAGCCCTGCATGTCTTCCAAAGCCAAAGATCTGAGGAGATTTGTTGTTCTAGCCTGCAGCTATGCATCGATCTATCAGAAACTTCACTGGTCCAGTTAATCACCTTATTCCTAGAGAGAGAGAGGGAGGGAGACAAACAACAAACCAGAGGCGAGAAAAGGTCCTGCTTTTGTTTCAGTAATTCATTTTAATTGTTGGGATTCAGTGCCTGGAGATGAATTAATGGCTGATATTTGCAGAAATTGAGTTTACTGTTTTTGTTTTGTTATTCTAATTGATGTAGTCATGTACAAAATTGACTCGGAGTTGACGGAGGGAGGAAAAGAGGATGAGAGGGGAGAAGGAGGGGGGGGGGGAAAGGCTTCACTGACAAACTTAATCACCCCAGTCTTTCACTGAAAGGAGGGAAAGTATGAATAGAAATCAAGCGGCAACCTCCGGGGCTGAGAAATGAAGCCAACACAGAAACTGCAGTTCCTCGAACGACCACTTGAGGCTGGCTCCAAAAGTGAGTCGATCCCCATAGACTCTCATGTTAAAATGCCCAACTTTACCAAGAAAAATATGTTTACGGCCAGGTACAAAAAAACATTTTAGTCTCTTTTTACATAACTCACCCATTTAAATTTTTACTGAGGCTTGAAGTTATGCTTAATTTAGGGCGCGACCGCTTTGGGTGAGCTTCAAAGTCTTTATTCTATATAATCTATATATCCATCTTTATTTTACAGTCTATGATGGAAAGAAAGGAGTAAACGCAGGCTGGGGTGAAGAGAGAGGACAGGGAGGAAACGTGGGCAGGAACAGATAAAAGAAGAACAGAGGGTTGTTCTTGTCATTATAATGACGAGGAAAAGAGGAGCCAGATAAACTTCTACAAAATAGCATTAAATGACTTGATTGTATGATTTTTTTTAATATTCATAATTTTTTATTTGTCTGAAAATAAAATACATTTTGTCTTCTCAAAAAATGACAACTGTATTTTCAACATATTAAACATATTTTTCTCTATAAATATTATGACATTTTCTCAAAATATAACAGTTTTTTCCTGGAATATTTGGTTTCCTCAAATATTATGACTTTTTTCTTGATTTATTGAATTTTTTTCTGTTTTTTTGTGTTTGTTTGTTTTTCATATTGTTATGAAATGGTTCAGTACCGATGGCCAAAACTAGTAAAAATATATGAACTCTCCTTTATTTATACAACACCTAATCTAATCTAATCTAATCTAGAACTGTTTCAACTTTTTCAATTTATTATACTGTAATTTACGATACTTTACATTTTTTTATGAACTGAATTAAACCATTTAAGAATCACTATGAGCAGGTCTGTGTTACATCTTTCATCTTCACTCTCTGTCAGTGTCATTACAGTGTTACCAAACATTTTAATAACCTCACGTTTGTCACTTAACATGAATATAATCAGTCAGAGAAGAAGCACACACACTGACATTCATTAGATGTTGCTCTTAAATCTTTCTTGTGTTGCAGATAATGTCATTTGATACAGTTTTGATACAACAGAAACACATCTTGGTGAAATCCTTCTTTGAAAGTCTAAACTGAATATATTAACATAACTCATGGTTTCTGTGTGTGTGTATTGACAGGTGTCTGACAAGCCCAAAGCAAGAGGCACAGCCCTGAGGTAAGACAAACTCTGTATTGTAACATTGTGATTTATTTATTTCAGCTGCATATCTATTGTGGTACGACAGAATGGAGCAAAGATGGTTACGTTTTCCATATATCAGCTGGTTAGATGTGTTTTTTTTTTTTTTTTTTACATGTGTTAGTGGTTTAGAAAAGTGTAAGTGAAATCTCGGTGTAGTCTGCATTTGAACATTTAGTTAAATATCAGCCAAACAAGCTATAAATAAATGTTGTTTGCCTCGATACGTACAACCGAGGCAGCTGTGGTCAGTGTGGAATGAGTCTCTGGTCTTTTGTCTGTGGCTGTTGTTGAACGCGCTCTTAAGGTCAAAGACATCACTGAGAGGGTAGACCATCAGAGCCGGTGACATAATCTCAGTGGGGGTGTACAGATGTGTTATTTGACTTAAATCTAAAAGACGAGGAGGCTGAGGTAAAGTATTTCATGGAGGATTAAATCTTCTATTTAGAGGTAGGCCTAGTAATATATGAAGGTTATTGGACATACAGCTTCAGCTCAGGTTTCTGGAAGGTGTAGTGGCTCTGATTTACTGAAACATCTGTGATGGCAGGTGCCCACTTGATAACCTCAGTCACCTGCCTGCACTCACACTCAGCTCTGTACCGTTTCAAGTCAGGCAGCAGATGTCCTCTATAGGTTAGTGTGTAAATCTAAACTCTTCTATACGCTCACCTGGGATTATGGTTCAAAGGAATGAAGCATAGGATCCTGTGTATCATCATCCATGCACACAGTACATATGCAACGATCCAATATCAATGTGTAAGATTTTTTACAAAATGTTGTCTCATTATATCTTAACCAGATTTAACATTTGACATCCATTCAAAAGCAGCGAGCATATGGTGAACATATGGGTGAATATTAAGGTGGTTGTGTTGCTGAAATGAAAGGCTCTGCTCTGGCTGTAATACTGGGTTTTAATTTAAATTACTTCTTCTTTAGTATTACAAATGAAATAGTTCAAGCATGTGAACGGTTTGGAGGTGCTTGTACTTGGAGTGATCAGAGTGAGAGTCATCATTTTAAGCTACTTTATACTTTCACTGCACTGTATTTCAGAGGAATATTTTGTACTTTTTACTATTAATCAGCTATAACATGTTTGTATGATTCTTGCATAAAATGAGTCATCGTAATAAATCAAACAGACCAGCAGTATATAAAGTGGTTAATAGTAACCTCAAGCAGCTACAATATTATAATTCTATATGCATATATGATTGTACTCATATCTACTACTATAACACTCCTATGCTGATCATTCTGCAAAAATATATTTATCTGCTGATACTGTTTTATTTGAATTATTTTTACTTGCAAAGGGGTATTTTTATATTTTAGTATAACTACTTTTACTTTAATAAGTGATCTGCGTACGTCTTTCATGACAGCTTATCTGTTGTGTAAAATTCAGTTCAGTTCTCTGGGTTAAAGTCCAGGTTAATTGAAAAGTAACTTCCCACGCCTTAAAAATCCTTTTTCTTTTCTTCTGACCTCTGGTGGTTTAACGTCTCCCCTTTCTGTAGTGGTTAGTGTTTGGTGTACTCCAGTAGCATGTGACATCACTGATGGGTGTGGTTCCAGGCTCAGCGGAGCACGTCTGACCCGACCCAGCCACACCTACTGGGTGTGGTCAGAGGCTTGAAGGGCTTATTGTTCGGCCGTCCTCATCAAAAGACAAAAGAGTCACATGTGCAGCTGTGTAAGGGATTTACAATTTAGAAATTCAGAATTAATATGTCACTACTGACAAATGAACATATTAACATATGCAGTTGTTCAGCTGGTCAACTTCATTGAGACATAATTAAAATAAATTCAGTAACAAATTACAACATCTGGTGGTCGATGACAGAGCAGAAAAAACATTGAAGAATTTATGAGTGAAAGCATCGTCCCTCTGCTGCTCGCATTTGAAGGTGTCAATCATTCTCATGCAGCGAGGAGAAGGAGCTTCTGCTGTGCATGTTGGAGGAGTTTCTTTCATTGTTTTCCTGTCAGTGTCTGAAAAATTTAGCAACCCAAAGAAGCAGCCAGGGATGGCATTCTGATTTTTATTTTTTTTTTAAACATCTGAAGGACACCAAAATTCATACACAGTATTGTAATATAATTGCATTTGGAATTACAGGCTGCGGGCATGGTTAAAAAAATATTTTCGCAGATGTTTTAACCATCACTGGTGAGTCCGCTGGAGGAGTGTGTGTTTGTTTTTTCATCATCTAATTTAATCTAATTATAGGGTCAGGTATGATCTCCTCCTGCTGACACTAATTGATCATTTGGACTAAGATGAATCTAATAGGCAGGTCACATTCAGATGAACAGCTGTCTACAATATCTGTTCTCATCCCTGTCATTTCTAGAGGTGATACAGCCCATTTCCATAATATTAAACATTTTCCCATTTATCATTTTGTTCTGTGTGGGCTACGCATTATTGTCTTCTTGTTAAGTGTTAACATCTTGGGGGAACGTGTCACCTAATTAATCATTAGAAGAAATGTTAGTTGCATTTGTAACATCACAGAACATTGGAGGGAATTCATGTAAACAGCTGATTTTGGCACAGAGATCAATTTTTCATAAGTTAATTTTTTTTTTGCTTGGAATGTGTTGTAAAGCTCAGACTGGTGCATAAGAATATAAGAATCTTTTATAAATGAGGCTTGTTGTGTTCACAGACTGAGGGCATTAGCATGCAAGTCTGGAGTGTGACTGTGAGCGTGTGTGTGTGTGTGTGTGTGTGTGTGTGTGTGTGTGAGACAGAGACAGACAGCGAGAGAGAGAGAGAGAGAGAGTGTGTGCCGTGCGTCTGTGTGTGCCCCAGGCCATGTGTTACTCTGCTACCGCTAATGAGCCCATTCACTCTGTAGCCTAATCTACTGAACACCACACACACACACACACACATCCACGGGGACGCTGGGACTGGAGATGCTGCGAGCGATCCACTGGCTATATCCCCCATGGAAAGCAACGCGCACACACACACATTCACACACACTCTCTCTCACCCACACTCCATAGAGACACACACATATTTATTTATTTATTTTTTTAAATCCTTGCACTGACAACCTCACCCACATACAAATCGTTATTCTGCTGCCACACACACACACACACACACACACACACATATACAACCACCCACCCTATCCATCCCACCACAGTGTGTATTAGACCGTATCATTTTTATATTATTGCTATGTAATCTTTAAAATCTTTAAACTATCTGCTTCCCTGTATTTTGTGCATCTTTCACAATATAGACTATGGTGAGAAAAACTGCCTGCAGTTATATGGATTTGTCTTTTAACTCTAATTATTTTAGTGGTAATGACAAAAGCAAAAGAAATACTAGTAGTTATAGTGGAGCTGGTAATCACAGTGGGAGTAGTATCATTATGAGATGAATGTGCTTGCATTTATGATCGATAATAAAAAGAGGCTGCTGATGCAGGTTTTGTGCTGTGTACACCAGCAGGAAGTTTAACAGAATATATTTAGCATAGAAGAAGAATCTTGTTTAGTTAGTGTTAAAGTAAATTTATTATGAGTCTTTGAGGAGAAACTTGCCTCATAATTCCACTAATAGTTGTTCTCCTCTCTCGCTGAACTATGTGGGACCCTAAACATGTTCAGAGTGAACTCAAAGAACATTTTCGAGGCGCTGTGATTATATAAGAAGTCAAGGGGAAGATGCAAGTGGACGGAAATAGACACAAGTAGCCCTGGGCAGCACATTGGAGGTGAACACACGACTGTGTGAGTTCAAAATGTTTCAACTTGAGTGAAAAAGTTGCGCTTGTCCTGAGGCTCAGTGACTTTCATCAACATACAGAGATGAGAGGGAGAAGAGACAGGTAGAGAGTTAAAAAGAAAAAAAAATGAAGAGTTGGACTTATTTGTAAGTTTTAAGATCAGCCAGAGTCTCATGCAGAGTTCACATCATGTTGGAGAGAAGGTACCGGCGGGAAGGGTACCCAGGTTTATGACTTGCAAACACCCAGATCAAGATGGCAGCTGTCAGTCTTCTCGGTCTTCTTGTTTTACTGTTTCATTATTGGAGGTTTCCAGAGTACAAGCAGAGTTCATTCAAATATACAAACACTTTGCTAAACACACCAATGTTTGCATTTTACAGTAAAGGCTCAGCGTTACAGCAGAACCGTCCACATACGGGACACTGAAACGGGAGAAGGTGCATTTTAAGATAGAAAATAATTGTCATTCTCACTACAGTGATCATTAGAGTATTGTCGCCCATGAATGAGTTACCTTGATTGTGAGGTATTTATTTCATGCTACTGGCCAAATCCAGCTATTCCCAATCTGTCTATTTTATATCATAACAAAGATGTCACAATAAAATTATGTATCACATGATCGCATTTTATCCTTATTTCCCACTCCATGTCCATTGAAATGAAATTGAAAATAATGAGAGTAGATTTGTTTAATTGCAGATGTAATTTTAAGGATTAGCTAGACTATGAAGATTTTAAATAAAATTTCACCCTTGAACTAATTCTTGCAGATCTGTAAAGTCCAACAAAGCACAGCTGTGCAGTTAACCTTATGGTATTATTGTACATACAGTAATTAGTTATTTGAAAGATGTGTTTTTAGCAGTAACTTTTGTCTCATAAGTGCAAACCATTCCTCTTGTTTGGAGCAGTGTATACTGTACTCCAAAAAACTGGTGCAACACAGCTAATAAGCTATTATATTTTCCTCTGTTATGCACTCCTTGTTTCTTTGTCTCTCAAAGGTCGTCGCTGTCACGTTTACGACCACCAAAGTTGAACTTGCTGCAAGATATAGTCTTTTTTTTTTACGCTAAAACTTTGCTGGTAAAAGCTGCTGTGACTACGCCAAGGTTACATTTACTGGCAGCATATTTTGAGCAGGATTTTTTATTTCTATTTTTTCGACATTGGGGTGTTTACAGATACCCCAGAGAC